GCTACAATTTTATTATTATTTTTGTTTTATTTTTATTATTATTATTATTATTATTTTTTTTTTTTACAAAGGAGCACGTTAACTGAAGTATAAAATGGTTCATTTTTTCATTATATCCGGTATCCACGATAAATATTACTATCTATTCTTTGCTTTAAAAAGAGGAATATAATATAGGTAATAATATGTTGGGGAAAGCAATAGTGGGTGGGGTTTGTGACCATTGTGTCTGTTGCTGAGGCTTGGGGAATTTTTTTCCCCACGGAATAGGTTATATAACAAAAAAGCCAAGACCCACAAATTTAAAAAAAAAAAAAAAAGTTTAAACTGAAATTCAAAGGCAAAATAAAATTGCATGAAGTTTTACCGCGGTTATTACGATGCAACCAATCAACTGTTCTGATGTTACTATAAATTTTTACGTAAGCCAATATATCTGATCTCTTTCGAATGCAAACTTAATTAGGCTGTCCTATTTCTAAGTTCTAACTTTCTATATGTGTGTGTGTAATATATACATATATATGTATATGTGTGTGTATATTATAACATGTAATAATAAAGGGGTGCTACATGTGTAAAAATAATTTTAAAAAGGTGTAATAATATTGAATCGCAATAGATAATTTTTTTTTTTTTTTTGGTTCTGCCGATTCATTATAATGTCATACACTATATTTTTACATGTAACACACACGCTGATCTATGCATATGTCTCTTCTAATTTCTTCTTCTCATTTGTTATTATTAAGGTAGAGCAAAGGTACAGGCAATACCACCACCAAATGCAAGTAGTGATATCTACGTTCGAGGAAGCGGCAGGGTTTGGCTCAGCCAAATCATACACTGCCCTTGCCCTAAAGACCATATCCAAGCAATTCCGGTGCCTAAAAGACGCGATCTCTTCGCAAATCAAAGCCGCGAGCAAAAGCTTGGGAGAAGAAGAGTGCTTGGGAGTGAAGATTGAGGGTTCGAGATTGAGGTACGTCGACCACCACCTTCGGCAGCAAAGGGCTTTGCAGCAGCTCGGAATGATTCAGCACAACGCTTGGAGGCCCCAGAGAGGCTTGCCGGAACGCGCTGTTTCGGTTCTTCGTGCATGGCTCTTTGAGCACTTCCTTCACCCGTACGTACATCTTTCTTTCTTTTTTTTTTAAATTAACAACTATAAGATGACTAGCGAAAATAATAGGGAGCGTTTGGAACTCGTTCTAAAATAATTTTGCTTTTTGTATGAAAATGAAAATGAAAACGTTTTCAACATCAAACAGAAATCATTTTTGAAAATGTGTTTGGTAGTTTTATCAAGAGATTATTTTTAGTATTAAAAAAACCATTGATGTTTCTCTCCCTCTCTCTCTCTGCTCGAGAGAGGAGAAAACGAAAACAAAAAATGAAAAACGACTAAAAGTCGTTTTTCATTTCTATCTCATTTTACACTAAACTAAAAAATTATTTTCATTTTCATTTTTTGTCTTTATTGCACTAAACGCCGTTTTGAAAACGTTTTTATTTTTTTTTCAAAAAACGTAAAAAACAAAAAAGGGATCAATTCCAAACACGGCCATAGTATCGCAATTTAAAACAATTGATCATATGCCTGCCACATGGTAATAATGTACGTAGAACCATGCATATACTTTGAAATTTAACCTTGTCAAAGTACCATGAGTATGTATAGAGATTGGTTTAGTGTTTCGCAGCCCGAGTCTGGGTTGGCATCAGCATGTTATCTTATACTATATGAAATGAAAGGTGATCTCATTATTCATCATTAATTAATCCTAATTATATTGAATGTACCAATATTATTACTATCAAATGAGGGCAGTATTTTTATGTTGTATAACGTTGTTGCTAGCTACATGATATTACAAGTTCCACTCTATCACGAATTAAATTTAATTTTGACTTAAGCAATATTGATACTAGCTTGTTATTAAATGGTACAAAAGGTGCTATCAGGTCTTGGTCAATGTGTATACACCAGTACCGCTAGCTCTGTTAGCAAATCATACTTTTACCATAATTTACTTTGTTTATTTAACCATAAGTTGGTTTTTTGCTATGTTGTATTTAACCGTAATGTTACTTGCATATGTTGTATTTTTAGTTACCCGAAGACTGCAGACAAAGTCATACTTGCTAAACAAACTGGGCTTACTCGAAGCCAAGTACGTAGATGATCTTCTCTTTTTAAAAATTTTTTTTCTCTCGTGAAACGTGAATGAATATAATTCTGATTATTATATATCCACTAATGTCTAATTATGAAATATATATATCCCAAGTAAACAAAATGATTGTTTTCCCAAATTTACAGGTCTCGAACTGGTTCATAAATGCCCGAGTTCGCCTGTGGAAGCCAATGGTTGAAGAAATGTACATGGAAGAGACCAAAGAACAAGAGCGAAATAACGGTTCTACTTCTCAATCAGGCCAAACAAAGAAAACAGAACCCAACGAGGAACCATCATCAGCTAATATAACATCAACATCTCAAGTTCATGACATGATGAATGCCTTCCAATCATCAAAACCCGATCAAAACTTTGCGACAGAATTCCCGAATTCTCCACTGTCGACGTCTCCGATGCCCGGATCCTTCCATTTCGGAACGACGGAGATTCAAGCAATTAGTCCAAAGAAACAAAGGAGTACCACTACTCCTACTACTTCGGAAGTACTCAACTCTCCGAGTAGCATTCTCTCAATGGACAATATGGACATGTGTAGAGATCAGATGAATCATCAAAGGCAACGTAAGTATAACACGGTCGGATTCGGTGCATACCCGGTTGGCGATTTAGGAAGGTTTCACTTATCGGCGGATCATCATCATCATCAGTTAGCTCCGAGGTTCCATGGAAATGGTGTTTCTCTCACTCTCGGTCTTCCACACTGCGAAAACCACTCTCTCTCTAACCAGAATATTATCGATCCATCGGGAACGAGACTCGACAACAGTATTGGAACAGGGTCAGAAAGTACTGGTAATTACGACAACATGGACATGCAAAGCAGAAAGAGGTTTGTTGCTCAATTGTTGCCAGATTTTGTGGCCTGAAGAAAGAGATAGAGAATATATATATATAT